TGTGTCTGCACACAGTAGTCTTGATATTTTTACCTGTTTTTGAATTTTGTATGAATGAAATAATGTAGTAAGTGCCCTGGTGACTGAAGTCCATGTGTCAACGTGGTTGTTGTGATCAGTTGACCTTGTGTGGTGTATTGGATTTGTTTTGTGTACTTTACTGAGTGAATATAATAGGTAATCCATTTTTTCCCCTGTTGCTAAGGACACTTGGCTTGTAGTTTGAGCCATTGTGCATCATGTTGCTGTAACTATTCTCCTGGGTGTCCCTAGTGGAGCATGCCTTTCTTTCTCTGGGTCTGTGTAGGGTGCAGTCCTGTGAATATACACACGATTGGCCAAAGCTGCTGGCTGCTTTTACGACATTGTTGTTTTATTTATACTCACTGCATTTTATGAGAATTCTGATTACATTATTATGAACACTTGATGTTTTTAAAATTTAAGTGTTGATAGAAATCATATAACAGAATTTTTTATTTTTTTTGCTTTTGCAATTGAGGCAGATATTCTGAACTTAGAATCCTTAGTGCCAACAGTATGGTTAACTGAAAAGTCACAGCTGTTTCCATGAGTGTGGGTGTAGGCACAGGGCGTCCTGAAGACTGCCACCTGCTGGTTAAATACCTTAGAAATTTGTTGAGTCTCCTGGCTTCTCTCCCTCCTCATCCCTTTTCCCCTCAAAACAAACAAACAGAAAAGGAGGTGGGTGGGAGGGAGGGATAGGGAAGGGGATGGAAATGTGTCTCCAAGTTCTGTCAGAGTCATGTTTCTTTTTCACATTCCTTTAGCCGATAACAGTTCATGGTGGTATTTCTGCTTTAATTGCCTTTGGCTTCAGCTAGATACTCCCTCCCCGCAAGTGATTACTATTTCTGTTGTTATTGTTTTTTGGTTCAAGTGGAGGTTGTATCCTTACTGTGATTGACAGTCATTAGAGTAGGTGATGGCTAAAATGATCGAAGAAGTAATAGTGGGAAAGGCTGGCTGGGTTCTCTAAAGTTGATTTTATCCACAGGACCTATCGGTGTTTGGAAATTCTCTATGTGAGTTTCCTTAATAAAGAGGTGTAACAGAGACAGATGACCCGAGCTAGTGGGAGCTCATGGACTCTGGACTGACAGCTGGGGGGCCTGAATGGGACCAAACTAGGCCCTCTGAATGTGGGTGACAGTAGTGTGGCTTGGTCTGTTTGTGGGTGCTGTGGCAATGGGACCAGGACTTATCCTGGGTACACGGACTGGTTTTTTAGACCCTTTCCCTATGGTTCGATGCCTTACTCAGTCTTGATGGGGTGTGGGGGGGTGTTAGTCCGGCCCCAGCTTGGTGTGCCAGCCTGTGTTGACTACCCAAGGGAGGCCTTACCCCTATGAGGAGTGAATGGGGGGTGGGATGGGAAGAGGAGGGGGCGAGGGAACAGTGGTTGGTATGGAAAATGAAAACAAACTTTTTTTAAATTTAAAAAAAAAAAAAAGAGGTGTAATTGTGACCTGCCATCTGTGATCTAAGAGCAGGTTAGGTGTGCTTTATACATTATTTCACACAGATGATAATGCTTCAAGGTTAGGTATATTCTTGTTTCATAGTGAGGAAACAGGCCGGGACAGTTCGTGACACATAAAACTGGTGTTCTGAGGCTGTAACCAAGCCTCCCACATCACACTTCCCTCAGCTTGGTTTTCACCCAGAGACCAGTAAGCCTTGCTATTGCATAAACAAAGCTTAGAGCCTGTACTTTTAGAGAAAACACGAGACAGAACTTACCAGAACAGTCGTTGGAATTGCGGCTGGAGTTGTTTTCCAGTTCAGGAGGAAAGCTGCACGATATCAATGTTTCTTTATGAGTGACTGGCCGAGGCTTCTAAGTCACCTCCGCTTCAGCCCAACTGTGGCTGAATAACTGGACACTCCGAACTGCCTCCGGTTGCTCACGTCCGCTGTGCTGCCCTGAGTTAAACTGTGTCCTCATCAGGCTTGTCCAGCTTCCTCTTCCCCTCCCCCCCTCCACCCCCCCTACCCCCGCCGTGGGAGGGAGACTGAGGTAGTTGCCATTTCCAGTGCTAGGCAGGTAGCATGAGTGGAGGCTGAGTGGGGTTCATCTCGGCGCAGAGGGAGGAAGGAAGGTTGCTAGCGGGATGTTGTCTGTCCGGAGCGGGATGTCGTCCGTCTGGAGCTGGCTAGGAAGCCAGAGCAGGGCTGAGGAAGGCTGGGTTCCTCCTAGTTACAAAACCAGTATGAGTTCTAGTGAGACATCTGCATATGTTGTTTAAAATATTGGTACAGCTTTTATAAATTTTTAGTTGTGTTTCTTGTGACTATCTTGTTATCAAACAATGATAGGGAAAGGAATGCTGGTAATAAATAATGTTTTTTTGTTATTGTTTGGGTTTTTTGTTTGTTTTTTTGTTTTTGTTTTTTTGAGATAGGGTTTCTCTGTGTAGCCCTGGCTGTCTTGGAACTCATTTTATAGATCAGGCTGGCCACTTTTCTCTGCCTCTGGAGTGCTGGAATTAAAGGTATGTGCCACCACATCCAGCTAATAATGACTTTTGTTTTTTAAACTTTTGATAAAAAAATAGTGATTTTACGTCCTCTGGTGGGTATTAGTAGGCAGTGAACTCTCAAGACTACAAATTGTAATATTCAGTGGTGATAGGCAGGGTCGGCTGATGTTACTCCTTGAACGGTCTCCTCCATCTGGACATTGGGATGCTCTGTATGTTAAATATACATTTAAAAGTCATCTGGATCCAGATGGTGAAGGCTGGGCGGTAACGTATGAATAGGTGGCAGGCTGTGTCTGTCTGTGTCTGCGTGTACCAACTTAGGAATTCTTCCTCTTACACTGGCAACTGTTTTTTAAGCTTATAGAGGGAAGGCTGTCAGGAGAAGATGGACAGTACACTACTGTGTTAGTGTATCAGCCTAGAAAGGAGCCTTGGCCACATGTCTTCATATGAAGTAAGCCCTGTTCCCTCTGGAGGCGGTTTTTAGTTTAGATGATGCACTTGAGGATGCTCCGTATCCCAGCCTGCCACCATGCAGCCTGGCCCCTCAGGTGCCTCTGCTCAGTCTCCCTTCTCACTTTGGGGGGAAGGGGTTACTTCATACTTTTTCTAGCACCTTGTCATATGGGTAGTGAGAATTTGGAATGTTTCTGTTCATATTCTAGAGTATGCATTTATTGTGATGTGATCTCATAGAGAGTTAAATTTCAGGCAGTGGAAGCCAGCTCCTGCCCTTTAGGCTTTTGACTGACATCACAGTAGGCAAAGAATATATTGATTCCCCCCCCCCCATTTAAAAATCTTAAAAAACAAAACAAAAGCAAAAGACATTTCATTACTTTTATGCTAGGTGTGGAAGTGCACCTATTTTAATTCCAGCACATGGGAGGCAGGTGCAGGTAAATCTCTTGAGTTCAAGGCCAATATGAGAGTTCTAGTGAGACACTATCTTGAAAAACAGAGATAAACAAACAAAAGAAGAAGTAGAGCCTGATGTGGTGGCTCACACCTTTAATCCCAGCGCTTGGGAGGCAGAGGCAGGAGGATCTCTGTGAGTTCAAGGCCAGCCTGGTCTACAGAGTGAGATCCAGGACAGCCAGGGCTGCACAGAGAAACCCTGTCTCAAACAACAAAACAACCCCCCCAAAACAGACAAGAAGAGGAGCACAGTTGTTTTCTCCCATGTGTCCTTCCAGTCCCTGACAACACCCCAAAGAGGCTGGCAAGCTCCCCTTTCCTGGCTGCCTGCAGAAGAGCACGGCTTGGCCCTTTCGTGGCCTGTGCTGTTTTGTTCAGCTTATGTGAGACTCTGTTGGTCATGTAGTAATTCTCTGACTCTGAAGAGTGTCTCTGCTGAACGGGAGAATGCCTTTCTCCGGTGTGTGTGCTTAGTTAAGCACAGGACGTCAGAGTGACGGGCTTCATTCTGCTCAGTTGGAGTTGACACTGGCCAAACAGTTACCAGTGGTTTCTGTTCTGGCTATGGCCCTCCCAACAGTGCAAGGTTCTCAGGTGGTTCCGTATCCTGGCCCAGACTGGAGTCTTAACCTGTAGTCATTCTGGTGGGACCGTGATACCGTTGTGCCTTCAGTCTGTACTCCCTCATAGACTGTCCCGTTGAGCACCGTTCCAAGTGTCGATTGCTGTTTAGACGTTCTCATTGTCATGGAGTACAATGGAGGAACATCCCAGCTAATGTTATTAATGTTATTAGGAATAAACAGACCCAAGCGAAGATTTGAGATTTTAATTAATCAGAGGTAGATAGACTCTTACTATGTAGCTCAGGTTGGCTCAAACAGTCTCCTTGCCTCTGCCTTCTATGTACTAGAATCACAGGCCTTGCTCCCTCCCCCATGCCTGGCCTGAAACTTTAGGTTTATCATATACATTTGATATACCTGGGTAGTCAAGACACTCCCTTTTCACGCTTTCCATTCTCCACTCTTCAAAGACATGTGGAGTTGCTGGTCTGTTGAATCCCAGTGAAGTGAAACATTTGTTTGTGAATTCATGTCCATGTCACCTCTGTGTGGTCTCCTTCCTTTTCCTGTTCTTTTAAAAATTATTTTACATGCACACACATGTGTGTACATGTGTGTGTACAGGTGTGCGTGGGTTCGTGGATCTCTCTCTCTCTATGGAGGCCAGAAGAGTGTCAGATCCCTCGGAGCTGGGGTTACAGGCATATGCGTGAGTGTTGGGCTCTGAATCCAGTCTATGTGGTTGCACAGCCAACACTCTTAACTACTGAGCTGTTTCTTCCTCCCTGCTTCCAGTCCTTTCATAAGGGAAAAGTGTTTAACTTTTTCTCAAGAACTTGGGGTTGTCATGAGGAATGTGAGTTATTATACCAAGCTGCTCTTTTAAAGGCTGCAGCTTAAAGCCCCATCCCTAACTCTTACCTTGAATGGTCTCCAGTGTAGCCCATGTCCACAGTTAGAACCGTTAGTTATCTAGGGCTGGAGAGGATGCAAGCTGTGAGTTCTTGACTCTGAGTCTAGTCCCAAGAACTGTAAACTGGGCATGGTGGTGTTTGCCTACAAACCTAGAACTTGGGAGGTTCAGAAGTTCAGAGTCATCCTTGGCTACATAGTGAGTTTAAGGCTAGCCTGGGGTACATAAGGCGTGTTTTTGTTTGTTTGGTAAGAAAGTTTCCTATTGCTTTCATGCCTTTGGAGTCAGCTGTGCACTTTGACTGCCAGCTTCAGCTGTAACCACCATATGACAAGCAGGTTACTTAATGTCTCCTCAGCATCAGCTTCTCTGAAGAAACAATCATGTTTCCTACTTACACAGGGCTCTGGAGTTGTAAGTTTAAGTCAAAATGTGTACACACATTGCTGTGGGCACATAGGATGCCAGGAGACATTAAATACTCTGGGAGAAATCTCCGGCCTTTGAGGAGGGCATGACAGACAAGGGAAGTCTGTTGATGTGTGGTGGACTGGCAGGTTCCTGTGGATATTAGGGTACCACCACTCAGGGTGTCTGGTGATGTGTGGTGGACCCCCAGATTCCTGGGGACATTAGGACACCACCACTCAGGGTGTCTGGTGGTGTGTGGTGGACCCCCAGATTCCTGGGGACATTAGGACACCACCACTCAGGGTGTCTGGTGGTGTGTGGTGGACCCCCAGATTCCTGGGGCCATTAAGACACCACCACTCACGGTGCTCTTCTTTTCTAGTGATGGTCACACCAGAAATGAAAAGTGAGCAGCGTCGTTTTTATTCCCCATTTAGAAAACGTGATGCACATCAGACAAGAAAATAAGCTGCCGTTTCCAAAGGAATCTTAACGTGTGCTTTCCACTGTAGTTTTTATTTATTATTTTTTTAACCTTAAAATGATTAGGACTTCTTTTGTATAATACCTGGAATATAATGTCTTTTTTTGTTTATTTGGCAAATCTTTGAATCCTTGCCTCCAGGATACTAGAGGAGAAAACAGTAGCAGAAATGCCCCAGCCTTACAGAGGGTCTGGTGTAGAGCCTGACAGTTATGAGGCAGACATCAGAGGCTCCCCTGAGGGAGGAAAGCTTGAACTGCAGTCTAGTGGTCAGAGAAATGTTAGTCAGGAGAACAGCCCCTGTGGAGGGAGTCTGGGAAGGGCTCTGCCCAGAGGCCTCAGCGTCCTCATTTCAAAACTTGAGTTGGACTGCCAGGTTCCATTTTTAAATATGTAAACTAGGAGGTTACCTCTTTACTACCTCCTCATTTGTGCTGTGGTTGGTGTAGATTAAACCAGGTGCGGTGCTCAGGCAAGTGGACGACAGCCGCTAGCTGTTGTCGGGTGGTGAAGGACGTGTGGACTGAGGGGGGGGGGGGGAGGATGGGTTGTATGCTTGCA